CCCCACCCCAACCCCCAACCCCAACCCCAACCCCAACCCCAACCCCAACCCCAACCCCAACCCCAACCCCAACCCCAACCCCAACCCCAACCCCAACCCCAACCCCAACCCCAACCCCTATATCACATCAAAACATCAACCGCAACACAAGAGATATTTTATTAAATATTTAAACATAAAAATTTTTTTAATAATTTTAAATTGAAAATTTGTAATTAATAAATTTTTTATTATATTTATTAAAATAAAATTATTTACAAATTTAATAATATTGATATAAAATTAAATATTATTTTTAAAAGATTAATATTTAAATTTTTTTTTAATCTAAATTATAAATATCAAAATAATTATATTTTGATAAAATTATGTATATATGTAAAAAATTATTTTAAAATAGTCTAATTTAATTTTAAAAAAATTAGAATATTTTTTATAAAAATTATTAATTAAAGATATTTTATTAAATTATTTTATTAAGATTAAATTTTATTTTATTAAATAGATTAAAAAGATTTTTTTATTTTTATATTTTTATAATTAAATATATCTTGAAAAAATAAGGAAATTTTCTCATTGAAAATAACGTAAAAAAAAAATTTTATAAACTTAAATTGAACTTTTTTTTTATTCTGATAAATGATAAAGCAACGTGATAAATTAGATGCGCCAATGTCATGAACCAATATAACGGACCAATGTAAAGGAACAATTTTTTGTGTAAATATGATAAATAAAAATTTATTTATGATAGTATTAAAATTTACCATTTTTATTTAGTTTGTTTAGTATTACTTATTTTATTTATTTGTTTGCTTAATTAATAAAATAAATATATTATTTTTATTTTTTTTTAAAAAAAAAACTTATAAATAAATAAAAAAAGGTCATAATCTATTTTTTCTTACTTTATTTTGATTTTACTAAAAAAAATCTGAATTCATAATATAATTATTTAAAAAAAAATATTTAAAAACATATATATTTAACTTAATAATTTCTGAATTTTAATTATAAATATTTATCAAAATTTATTTAAAGAAAAATATAAACATTTTCTAAATATATTGAAATTATTTTTGTTATTATATTTATTTTCAATTTTATATCATATTTTATTATTATTATTAAAAAAAGTATTCTGGTTTATAATATTTTAAAAATAAATTAATTATAACTATAATTGCGAATGAAGATAAAATAGCAACAGAATAAATATCATAATCGAATACAAGTGTATAAATACTTCCCCATGTCAAAGATACAAAAAAAGAATAAAATAATATTAACCGGCTTATAAAATAGTTATAAAAAACATTTTTTTAATTTCTTTTAAAATACGCATTAATAAAATAAATTATTATCAATATAAATGTTAAATAAAACATTAATTCCAATAATAATAAAAAATGTATTAACAGTAATTAAATCAATAATATTAAATCCTAGCAATATAAAATTTTAACTATATATATCCTATCTTGTTATTAAAACGACTATAAGAATAAAATGGCCTAAAGTGAAAATAATGGTTGCATTCAATAAAAACATAAAAAATGCAAAATCTTTGAATTCTTTGCACAATAAATTTTTTTACTAGCTTTATATATTATTATGTGATTTTTTAAGAAAATTGAAATCATGAAATTTATTATATAAGTTCTATGTGCTTATTTATTTTTTACTTTAACGCATTCTATTAGCATTTTTTATTTGTATAGCATTTAAATTGTTAAAATTTTAAATATTTTCATCAGTTTATAAAAAACTTAATGCGTAGCCTATAAATGCCCCTAAACTTAAGTTATTTTTCTAAAGTGTTTTAAACGATATACGCTTATTACAAAAAAAAAATACTAAATATTGAATAAAGTCCCATGCATAAGTATAAAATAGTTTCTATGATTAATTAAGATTGTGTTTCATCTGTATTTATTTACCATAATGTTGTATATATAATTGTGTATAAGATACATACAATATAGGTTGTAACATAAGCAATGCAATTTATTTTATTTTTAAATTATTAATTTTCTGAATTTTAAATATCAAATAACCAAAACTATTTCATTTAATAAAAAATTATTAAATATTTATATTTAAGGGCTAAAATATATATTTTTAAAAAAATTATAAATAATAATTACAATTTAAACATTTTTGAAAAATTTATAATTAAAAAACAACAAATTGAATTAAACTTGTTTTATTTGCACTAATTTATTTTTAATATTAATTAAAATTTTATTTGATATTAAAAATTATATTAATTTTTTTTTAGTTTATTTAATAAAAAACTGATTATTATTAAAGTATCAGTTTTAAAAAGAAGTACCAACTAGATAGTTTGTAAAATAATTATGTATTTTTTTTTTATCCAATATTTCTAGCATCCTTATCTGTACTAATTTTAATTAAAAACAATACTAAAAATTTCAAATATTCAATTACATTATAAAAAATCTTAAAATCATCTTATTCCATAGAAATCAAATATTATAGAAATGTTTAAATAACAGATTGTAATTATTATTAATAAGCTATAAAAATTAGGATTTTAGCTTAAACAATAAGAAAAGCATCAGCTCCTTTATAATAAGAAACTATTTAAATTTATTTTTATGTTTTTATAAAAATAAATATAGCTTCAAAATCAAATTCAGCTCTTTCTTTACTTTGTAAATACTAATATTTTTGATCTAAATTAGATAAAGCTTAATTTTTTAAAAATAAAATGTACAACTATTATTTTTTATCTAAAAATCATAATTTCTAATTTACCAAGTAATAAACTGAATATTTTTATTCAAAATTACTTATAAAAATATTAGTAGCGCGATTTAATCCTCCATACAGAATAAAAAGGGGATATTCATTATTTTAATTGATATGCTATCTTTTTTATAAAAGAATAATAATATTCAATATATAACCATATTTTTTTGAAATATTATATTCATTATTGGTATAGTTCAGATTGTTCGCTCTTTGAGTAAATATAAATATATGTTGGCTTTCTTAAGAAATATTTATTATTAAAAGTTCATAAATTTGATAAAAATATCATAAATTGCTTTTTAAGGCTTGAGTTCATATTTTTATTTCTTTTTTACTTTTTTGTATCTGCATTTTTTTTTTATTAATAAACATATTTTAATGACTAAATATTAATGTAATATACAGATGTTTTTATATCTATAAAATAAAATTCGATTTAATAAATTAACTTTAAAAAAATACTATTTTATTAAATTAATAATTTTCTTGACTATTTTACATATAGAAATATTTATTTTTAATAACAAAAATTATATTTTTTTTAATAAAATATTTATATTATATAAAAAATAATAGACAAAAAAATATGATAGATGTTTAAACAACCCAAGAAGATATAAAATAAGAAAAAGAAAGTCCCGAAAAATAAATAATATTAACTGAATAAGAAACATAATTGTATATAGAAAACTCTACAAATAAAATCTTGTTTTTATTACTTAATGCATCTTTAAGCTTTGGTGCATTTTACAACAATTCATTCCAATCTTATGTAAAAGAACAAATAATGCATTTTATGAAAATCGATTAATCAGAATATTCCAAATTTATTTCCATTCCAACGATTCCTGTTATTTTTTTACCTATATTAATAGGTCCAGCTTTAAATTATTTCGGGAATAGAAAAGGTATTTTTTGTTTTACATTTACAATGTTTTTGGGTATTTTTTTGTGTTTGATTTCTGTAAATATAGAAAATTTCTATCTATTAATTATAGGAAAAACAATACATAATATTGGTTCGGAGTTAATAGGAATTTCATAAGGTATTATAATATAAAAAAATATGATTTAATTAATAATAATAAGAATAAAAAAATATCTATTTTTTTTAATCTAAAAAAAAAAATAGGTTACTATTATACAAAATGGTTCCATGCAATAAACATTGGAAAAGCATTTACTTTTGGAGTATTTGTAAATAAAATAGCAAGTTCTATTTCTGGAATTATATATCCTTAATTATTTAAAATTACAGGAAACTTAAATTTTGCTTTAGGAATAGGTTTATTTACTTGTATTTTTTCCTTTATAGGAGCTTTGGGAGCTACAAAAATGGATAGAAAAGCTGATTTATAGAATATTTATTTAGTATAAGAATAGAGCATTTTAGAAAAAAATGACCTTAATAAAGATAACAAAAAAAATTTTTTAATTTTTCAGATTTAAAAGACTTTATTTTTATTTATTGGTTATATGTTATTTAAAATGTGATTATGTTTGGATCCTTTTATGGTTTTTTAAACTATTTATAAAGTGTGATTATTTTGAAATTTTATATTAATCAAACTTTAGCAGGACAACTTGTTTCTATCCCATTTTGGATGGCATTTACATCTCCAGTTTTCGGTTATTTAGCAGATTTAAAAGGAAGAAGAATTTTAGGTTTATTAATATCTACCATTTTAGCTTTTTCATCCACTTTATACCTTTATTTACTTCCAAATGGTCATAATATAGCTTTACTTTTTATTGGGTTAATGGTTTTTGGTATTTTTTATAGTTTAATGACAGTATATTTATATCCAACTTTGCCTTTTATTTGTAAATTAAAAAACATTAATGTTGGACTTGGAATTATGTTGTGTTCTAGAAATTTAGGTTTTTTTTTTTAAAAAAATAAATAAATAAATAAAAATATAAAATGCTAGGTTTATGTTTATTAAATTTTATTGGAGGATATATTATGAAAAATGATAATTCGGGATATTAAATGTATTTATTGTTTTATTTCATTATTTTTTTAGTATCTGCTTTAGTGTCAATTTCGATGTATTTTGTTGATTTTAAATAAGGGGGAAGAATTAATTCAAAAAAACCTGAAAAACTTTAATAAAATTGAAATATTTTATTATTCTTGTATATTTTATATTATTTATAGTACATTTATTCAAAAAATGATTTTTAATTTTTATTCAATATAAAAATATTTGAAATAATTTAAATAATGTTAGTTTATTTATTATATTGTAAAAATAATCTTTAAATAAGAAAATAATATTTAAATAGATAAAAACAATAATTATTTAATCAAATTTTAAATTATATTTTTAAATATCAATTACAATTAATTTTTAAATAGCTTATATGTTAATAATTAACATATTATAAAAATACTTAAATATATATTTAAAAAATTTTTTTTAGTTATTTATAGACAAAAAATTATAGATTAAAAAATAAAAAAAAAAATATTAAGATAAATTAAAATTTAAATATTTTAAAATCATAAATTAAAAAAAAAAAAAATTAATATAAATATAATTAATAAAACTAAAAGTTTATGATAGGATTTAATGGCATATAAATATATATTAAAATAAAAAAAAATAAATAAAAAAAAAATCATTTTAAATATAAAATTTAAATATTATATATATAAAAAATAATTAATATTATAAATTATATATATATATATATATATATTTATATATTTATTTATATATATATATAATGTATTAAATAGATTTAATTATATATATTTTTATTTAAAATATTTTAATATAAATATTTATTAATATAATATATTTTTTTTATTATAAGACTATTTAAAATACATATAAAATTATAATTTATTTTAATATATATTTAAATATTTATTATTTTATATTTGAATATTTTTTATTTTAATATATGAATATTATCAAAATGCTTTAAATTCAAAATACATTCTTTTTTTTTATTTTTTTGTATTTTTTATATATTTTAAAATTTTTTTAAAATAGAAAAATTTAATAAATATAAATTACTAAGATATTATTTTTTTTTATATTATATATTTAAAAAAAATAAAAAAATATAAATAAAAAATGTAAAAAATATCAATTATAACCTTATCTCTAATTTATTTATCCTCTTTCGTATTAACTGCAGATCCTGATTAAACTTGCTTTGCTCAGACTGAAAACAAAAAATAATGCGCTTCTACTAGCGCAAATAAAGATGCATGTATAGCCAAAAAATACGGTGTCGTAACTTCTGCAACTAAAGTTTCTCCCCTTTATAAAGAAGACGGATCTGCTACAGATAATTAGAAATTTTAACCTGGAGATTGTGTTGATTGCATGAATATCCCTTTTGCATGTGGAGATGACAGTACAGGATGTACTAAACATGGACATTATAAAATAAAATCTGATACTGATGCAAATTGTGTAGCAACATTTGGAGCTTTACAATTATTCTCTTCTGGTTTATTATTATTAATTTTCGCATAAATTTTGTGATAAAAATAAAAAACTTTGCTTAATATTTTAGTATATTAAGAATAAAAAATATTATATAATAAAAATTAAATATTTAAAATAGAAAAAAAAAATTATATGAATATTAAAAAACAAATATAAATATTTCTATTAAATATCTATAAATATATATTAATAATTTGAAAATATATATATATATATATTGATAGAATTTATTTTATTATTTTTAAAAATTAGTTATTATTTTTTTAATTATAATTTTAATTTAAATATATATATAAATAAATATATTTATTTTTATTAGTTATTATTTTATTTTTTTATTTAATTTATTTAATATTTATAAAATTTTAATATTTATAAAATAATTAAGTAAAAAAAGAATAATTTATTTTTCTATAAATATAATATTTTTATATTAATAAATACAATAAATTAGTTTTATATTTATATATTAAAGGTTAAAGGTTAATAATAATATTTATTATATCATAATAATTTAACATCAAAAGATTCGAATATATTACTTTGTTTGGTTTTTAGTCCGTTATTACCATAATTTTTATAAAAAATATCTTCTTTTTAAAAATTTTATTTATTATTTTTTATATATTTCTATAAAACAACCTAACATTTTTATACATTATTATTTGTAATATTAATATTATTATTATTATTATTATTATTATTATTATTATAAATAATATTATTTATATTTTTTTTATTATTTATAATATCTTTATTGTTTATAATATTATCTTTATTATTAACATTTTTATTTTTATTTCTATTATTTATTTTTTTAATAGGATTAAGTTTGATATTTTAAGTTATTTTAAGTTAATTTTATGTTAATATTTTATCTTTTTTATTATAAATATCTATATAAAAATCTTTTTATTCAAATTTATCTTTTATATTATTTATATTTAAAGATATATTAAAATTGCTTTTTTCTTTATTTTTTATTTTATCTTCTAAAGCATAACTATTACCTCTAGTATTTCTTCTTATTTTAATATTAAATATTATAACAAAAAAAAAATACTTTTATAAATTATTAATTATTTTTGAATTTTAATTTTATGTTATCTTTGAAACTTTATAAGAATAATTATTTAAAATAAATGAATTTTCATGTGAAGTGTTTTATTTTCCTATTTATATAAATAAATAAATATTTAATTTTATAATAATTAATTGTATATTATTAATATATATAAGAAATAAAAATTACAATATATAAATAAATTTGAATGTATAATTTAATTTTTATATTTTTAACCTTATTTTATTTTTTTTGATAAATTTTAATTAAAATAATTAATTTTATTACTTAACTAACTATTATTATTGTTAATAATGTTAGTATTAATATTGTTATTATTATAAAAAGACTAAGATTTAATTTTATTATAAACTTAATTAAAATTAAATTTTTATTTAGTTTATTATTAATAACTATTATAAGTAATGTTATTTAATCCTTTTGTTAAATTAATATTATCGTTAGATATAATATCAGAAGCATTTGAATATAATTTATCTTTCTTTTAATAATAATAATAAGAATTATTATTATTATTATTATTATTATTATTATTATTATTATTATTATTATTTTTATTATAGTTATTTTAATTATTATTATTTTTTTTACAGTTATTATTTGTAATATTATTACTTTTTATAGTTTTTTAAGACTCGTTTTCTTCTTTTCCTACAACTTACACAGTCTAAATTTAATTTTTAGTTTTTTTCAGTATTACTATTTAATTATTATAATTCTTCATTCTTTTCATTACTTTTTATTTTTCATCATTTATTAATTAATTAATTAAATTATATGTAAAATTAAAATCTATATATAAAATATTCAAAAATAATAAAATTTTACTAAATATAAAAATTTACCTTTATTTTGACTATTATATTTTTTCGGTTCAATTAAAGATAAATCAAAACTTTTCGAATTTAAATCTGCCTTAGAAACCCCTCCGTTTCTAACAAATTTTTTTAAAAGTAAAAAATATGATGTTGTTAAATGATTTAATTTATTTGCGTCCAAACTTTAAACCACACTTTCTTTTTCCAAACCTAATTCAGCTTCTAATTATTTTATAATCTCTTAATCAATAGGAATTTGATTAAAACCTATAATAATCCCTGGAGGTATTTAATATTCTCTCTTATTTAGATTAAAAAATTTATGCATTTTAATTTCTTCAAAATTAATTCTTTTCTTAGGATCTATATTTAATATTTTCTAAAGCAAATCTTTAGCATCAAAAGTTACAAAAGAAGGTATTTAATAATCTCCATTTAATATTTTTTTATATAAAGCAGAAGTAGAATCATCTTCGAAAGGCAAATAACCGCATATCAAAGCGAATAAAATTACACCAGAACTCCATATATCTACTTAAGGACATGAATATTTCTTACCTGCTATCATCTAATATTTTTAATTTAAATAAATATATATAAATTAAGCATAAATTTAAAATTATACTTCAGGTGCAGCATAACATGGAGAACCACATGCCGTTTTTAAAAGTTCATTTTTTTTATATGTATTAGAAAGCCCAAAATCAACTATTTTTATACATTTATTATGGTCTAATAGGAGGTTTTCAGGTTTTAAATCTCTATGGACTACTTATAGTTTATGTAAATATTCAATTCCGGCTATTATTTCTTGGAAAAATTTCGATGCTTCTGTTTCTTTTAATCTATTTTAATGAAATTTTATAAAATATATATTTATTTTATATATATAATTTTTTATTTATTTTTTGTCTAAAGATATATGAAATAATATATTTATTAATATTTTTTTATTAAAAATTTTATTTTTGTTTTATAAAATATTTTATAATTTTTCTCGTATTTTTTTTATAAAAAATGCATTTTTTATAAAATATATTATTTTTATTAGAAAAAAAAATTATGTCTTTTTTATATGATTATTAATTGTATATATTTTTATTTAAAACCTTTATTATTCTACTATATATTCAAATAATTCACCTTTAGAGCAGTATTCCATCACTAGAAATATATGAGTTGGTGTTTCTATTATCTTTATTTATTTTTTTAAATCTAAATATTAATTATTCTTTTATATAATATTTTTTAACTTCATATATTTAAATAACTGTAGGATGCCTTATTAATTTTAAAATATGAATTTCTCTTTGAATTCTTTCTACATCGGATATATCAATAATTTTATCTTTTTCTAATATTTTTATTGCTACTAATTCTCCTGTAAATTAATGTATCGCTTCTTTTACTTTTCCAAATGCTCCTATTCCTTTTGTTTTTCCTTTTTTATATTTTAGATTTTTATTTTTTTGTAATTTTTTGTAATTTTTTTTTTTTTCCATAATTTAATTATAAATAATAAAAAAACCTAATATATAATTCCCTAATTATTTGCATTTTTTTTCTTTAGGAAGGCTTTTTAAATTTTCTTGTGTGGGTTACTAACTTTCCATTTTTAGCTAATTTTCTTATTTGCTTTTTATTTTTTTAATTAAATTTATTACTTTTTATTTATTATATTTTTATTTTTTTTTGGTGTTGCTTAATAAAGTTTATGCAATTTTTTTAATAAAAAAACATTAAAATAAATAGTTATTATTAATTAAAAATATATTTTGCGATTTTATAAAATTTATTATTTAATTCTTAGTTAAAATTAATATTATATTATTTTTTTAGTTATATAAATCATTTTTTTTTATTTAATAAACTCTCCCTTTAGAATATAAATAATATTAATTTTAGTTACTATTATGATAATTTAATTTATTACTTTTCAAAATAATTTATTATATAATAAGTAATTAAATATTTATCAGGCATTATATATATATATATTTATATATTAAAACTTTTTTCTTAAAATCTATTCAACAAGAAAATTCTTTTTTATATAATTTAAATAAAAAAGAAATTTATTTATTATTTAATTTACAAAAAATCCTAAAATAATATTAATATGATAATTAAATATTTCATAAAATATATTTAAATTATCATATTTTTTTAAAAAAAATTCTTTTTATAAATTTATTAATAAAAGGTAAAAAATATAAAATTAAAAATATTATATATAATTATAAAAGAATATAATAAAAAATGCTTTTAAAAATAATCCTTATAAATATAATTTTATCACTAATAGCAATATACATATTCATATATTCATTAAAACCTTAAGCAATATCATAAAAAATTCTTGAAAATACAAGCATATCTTAATATTTTCCTAAAAGAATACTCCAAGAAGAAGCTCCAATATATAATCAATACATATACACAGGAACTTGGTAATCATAATCAATCAAAGTAAAAAAATAAAAAATAGATAAAATAAAATTAAATATTATTTTATATAAAGAAAGATATCCTATAATTCAACTATTTAGACTAAAACAAAGGAAATTCATATTTTTTTATTGAATATGAAAATAATATAGCATAAAATATATACATGTATTATTATAATCCTTAATATACAGACGAAAAATTTGTTTTTGCAATTGTTAATTTATCTTAATGTTAACTTTTACTAGATAGGTAAAAACATAAATATATTGATATAAATAAAAATATATTTATAAATATAAATATATATATATTTAGATGGATATGTGTAAAAAATTATGTTAAATGGAAAAAGTATGATAAAAAATATTATAAAGGATCAGGTTATGTATAAAATGCAACTATAATAATAAGAATACAAAATTCCGATATTCCTTAACAAACAACTTTTCTTATATCATTAGAATATTAAAATTAAATAAATTTAAAAGGATAATATTAAGCTTAAACTTCTTCTTCTGCTATGTAAGTTGCACTCTATAATGTTTATATGTCTTTCATAGGACTATTATAATTATTTTGTGTCTGGAAATTTGCAGAATATTTGTAAAGAAATGAAATAAGATCGACTAAATTGTCATTAATTACTATAGGATTTGTAAGTGCAAATGATTGCTATTTAGCACTTTGCCATATTTATTTATCTATTTAAAATACAGTATAAAAAAATATAAATAATAAAATATATTAATAAAGGCATAAAAAAAATTATATTTTTATATTATATATATATTAAGTTTTTTCTACAATATTTTATTATTACGGCGATAATTTATTTTGTTTTGGCTTCTATTTATGATATGAAATTGCTTATAATTATTTGGAAAAATAGATATTATGTTAATTATAATACACCATAAGAAATAAGAAAAGGATTTATACTATTCTATGCTAAATTTTGTAATTTCTTTTTTTTAAATTTTTTTTAAAAAAAAAAAAGATTTAAGCTTGATTGTAATTATACTGTTAAATTATTATTTCTATTTATTTGATATTTATCTTTATTTTTTGCCTCTTTTTATAATTCCATAAATTATACATAATTATATGAAAGGAAATCAGGTCGAATATAATTTCTATTATATTTTTGGAATTCTTTTCTTAAGAGTTATTGAACCTGTAATTTTTATATATTAAAATTTTATTTATACATATTTTAGATTTACATAAGAGGATGTCCAGAAAATATATTTGGATATGCACCACATTATTAATTTTGTATTATTTGGACTTCTTTATTTATTATTTAAGTAATTTATATATTTTTTTTATCATATTTAAAACATAGATATTTTTCATATACTTATAATATAAACTTGGACCGAGATTTTTTATACCAAGAAGATTTAGAGTTTAATATAATTATTTTCATACAGTTAATTTTGAAGACAGTTTAATTAATATAGTATATTAAATAAAAAAAAAAAATATATATACTATTTTTATATAAAATAAATAAGGATGAAGAATGCCCTATATGTATGTCTTTATTAAGTGAAGATCTAGATATTGAAGAATAAGGTGATAGTAATAGAAACAAAAAGAAGAAAAAATTAATAAAGAAAAAAGAAATTATAATAACTTAATGTAACCATAAATATCATGTAGAATGTTTTCGTGAATGGATAAATAATAAACTTGACTGTCCTGTTTGTAGATAACAAATACCACCTCTAGAATGATAATTTTTTAAAATTATAAAAATAAAATTATTACTGTATAATTATATATTATTTATATAATTAAAAAAAATAAATATAAATTATATAAATATATATATATATATATATATATACATTTATATTTTTAATTATAATTATATATATATTATTTTATAATTTTTTTTTTATTATATATAAATTTTATCGCTTTTTTTTTTTAATAATTTTATTTTTTAATCATAAATACATATAAAAACTTTCTTAAAAAGAATTAATAAACAAGATTAACTAAATCAATGCATATTTTATTAATTTTAATTTTAACAAAATACATTAAATTTTTCACTCTTATAATTATATTAAACCTATGAATTACAAATATAAAGTAGTTTTTATTTAGTTTATATACATAAATAATATAATATTTTAATAAAATTTTATATTCGGAAAAATTATAAATCCTTTATAAAATAGAGATTATTTTAAAGGATTAGTAAGAAAGAATGTTTTATTACGTAGTCTAGTATATTTATTATTTAAATTAGCTATTTTAAATCTTTTTTTTACAAATATTTTCTAATGATTATTTTTTATGAAAAGAAAATATTTTTTTTTTTTTTAAAAAAAAAAAAACATAATAAATAATTTATATATATTCTATTATTTTTTATATTTAATTTGTTAATAAATAAACTATATAAATTTAAATAAAATTTTTATATTAACATTATTTATTTATAGTATAAATAAAAATAATATATAGGAAATTATATATTTTAATTAAAAAATATTTATATTTTTATAATTTAATTAATAAATAAATTAACTTATTTTTATCATAAATAAAAAATATTATTTGTTTCTTAAAAATAAAATGGAATATTTATGATATCTGCTTAAAAATGATAATACTGAATTATTTTAATATAAATTAAAAATATAAATAGAAACAGCAAATCAATATTATTAAAGCATATTTATAAAAATTTAATTAAGTTATAATTTTATTAATTAAAAAAAAATTAAATTAAATTTTAAAAAGATAAAATATAAGCACAAATAAAGTTATGATTAAAAATTAATCATATTTTTGTTTTCTATCAAATATAAAAGTTGAAGATTTAACATATTATTTAAATTAAAAAATTATTTTAATATATAAATTAAACAATAAATTGGTTAATTTGAAATAAAGATAAGATAAATAATTAGTATATAAATTCTAATTTTTTTAAAAAATATTAAAATAATTGATAATAAAAAATGACTTTAATATTTCAATAACTAAATTTAATATATAATAATCTGTTTAAAAAATAAATAAAAGTGATTTAGTAATTATTTTTTATAAAATAAACATATTCTTAAAATTAAAAAATATACAAAAATTAAAAATCTAATTAAAAATTTCATTTCTAATATTTGCATGTGGTTTATGACTATAACTTTACTTAATATTTAAGAAAATAATTATAAATTATCTAATTTTTTAAGCATTATTTTTTTATAAAGAGAAAAAACTTAGAACAGATAAATTAAAAATAATTTATAGATTAACAATATTTCAGAGATAGATAAAAAAAGTGTACCTTTTTTAATATATTTATATGATAGATTAGTAAAAGCAATTTAAGTTTAAATAATTTTTTAAAAAATGAAATATTTTTAAATATCTTGTTTCAATAATAAAATTTTAAGAGAAATTTAAAATAATTATTTAAAAAAAAAATTAATTTTACAAAATTAAAACGAAAATATAAAATAGTTTAGATTTTCAATTAAGTAAAAAAATAAATCTGATTTCTCTATTTAAAGTAGTTTATAGAAATAATTAAATATTAAAGAAAAGGGAGTTTTATAATTAGAATTACTTTATTTAATAAATATAATAAAAAAAGGAAATATTAGATATATAATAATTAAAATAAAACAGATATAAAAAAACAATTAATCAATGTATTATAAAAAATAATTAATATTAATTTAAAATAAAATATTGTATATATAATAAGTTGTTTCATAAAAATTAAATAACGTAAAATTGTTTGCCCTATTGATATTTTTTAAAAAAAATATAAACATATTTTAAATGTATTATAAATAATAGAAAGTATATGGATATTAATTTTTATCCTATTTTAATTTTATAAATAAATTTTCATATAATATGAAATTAATATTATATAATTAATTTTCATTTAAGTTCTACATTTAAAACAATAAATTTAAAAATACAAATTTTCATATTTTATTTAAAATAAAAATATTTTTTAAATTATAATTAATTATATATATGTTTTAACAGTAAAAAAATATACTCGATAAAATTATTAAATGTTAGTGAATATAATAAAAATATTAAATATATATATATATATATATATATATATATA